TGTTGAAGTTAGACTAAAACCTTCACAATGGAATAATTGACTCTGGGTCTTGAAGTACTTAGCTATTTGGAAAGACGTAATCCGTTTTTTCCATCATTCCATGTTTTTCTTCTTTCCTCAAAAACAAAATCTTCAGCTGAACTTCGGAGATGATACAGTTCTCTTTAGAAGCTTCAGATCAACTGCTATGTGTTCACTAACATGCTGGCTACAGCTAGTGCTGTAGAAAAAGGAAAAATGAGGTAAAATTTTTTCCAGTCATAATTGAGGGATTTGAGAGGGAGTGAAGAAAAAGAGTGAAAGGAGTATGGCTTTCAGTGGTTTGATTAACCCCCAGAGGCTCATGTATTTGAATGCTTGATACCCAGTTCATAGACCTGCTTGAGAAAGATTAGGAGGTGTGGCTTTGTTGGAGGAGGTGTGTCACTGGGGGTGGGCTTTGATATTTCAAAGCCCATGCCTGTCCAGTCTCACTCTCTCACTCCTCCGCAGCCCTCCCGCTCCCTGTCTGAAACTTTTGGATCAGATGTGGGCTCTCAGCTACTTCTCCAGCACCATAGCCGTCTGCCTGCTGCCATTGTTCTTAACATGCTGATCATGGACTAACCCTCTGAAACTGAAGCAAGCCCCCAGGAAAATGCTTTTTTCTCTAAGTTGTCTTGGTCATGGTGTCTCCTCATAGCAATAAAACAGTGTCTAAAACATGGTCCAACCAGAAAAGAGGAGAGCAAAGATATCATACAAGCTATCATAGATAGTTTGAGATAGAATAAAGAAGTCTTCAGAAGCTTCTGAAGTATCTGTATATTGTTCAGTATCGTGTTCTTGGTCCTTTCAATCATCATTGCTCCATAATTAAGCAATGTTTGAGGCCCAATATATGTTGTTGCTTCTAAACCTTAATTTCTGAATAGAGTCTCATTCTTTATTCTTTCCAAACATAACTGTGTGTGTGTGTGTGTGTGTGTGTGTGTGTGTGTGTGTGTACAGATGCATTTGCACATATGTGCACATGAGGTGAGTTTGCACATGTGTGTGCATGCCTGTGGAGGCCAGAGGAAATTTTAAGGTATTATTCTAAGTGTCATAGGACTGTTTTGTTTTGAGACAGGGGTTCTTGGTGGCCTGGAACTAACAAAAATGTCTAGACTAGCTGGCCAGCAAGTCCCAGGGAGCCACCTCTCTCTATCTCCCTGGACTGGCATTATAAAAGCACGAGACAAGAATGTTTTCTGTTCAAAGAGGCAAAGCAGGTAGTAGGGCGTCGTTGGTTTCTTAGCCCACTACCGTTCTATCTGTTGTCTTCCTAGTTGCAAGGTTCGATGTGCTGAGAGTCCTTCATAGCTTGGAATTGCCTTGGATTTTCAAAGTGAAACATCTAGAAGAGCTGAACTGAACTATTCCTGAGAAAGCAGTGACGAATGTCTTTTTTCTTTCTACTAATAAGTAAAGCTCAGAGCTTTGCTGCCAGATGAACATGGAAGGAAGGACAGAGCTCCAAGAGCCTGTGTGTTTCCTCGTCACTCATTCATTCATTCATGCATTTATTAAATGCCTTTCAGTGCCAGCATTGTGGTTATCACAAGAGACACCAAACAGCTGGGCAGTGGTGATGCACACTTTTAATCCCAGCACTTGGGAGTCAGAGGTGGATGAATCCTCTGTGAGCTCAAGGCCAGCAAGTTACAGGACAGCCAGGGCTGCACAGAGAAACCCTATCTTGAAAAACCAAAAGGAAAGGGAGAGACAAAACCGATATGGTCCCTTTGCTGATGGACCTTGTGCTTTAGTAGCAAAGATAGCTGCAACGTACAGCATAACACAAAATGCTCCCCACAATGAGCGTGAGACGGAGCAAGGAACCTTGCCACACTGGAGGAAAGTAGACTAGAAGAGCCAATGTCATGGGCTGGGTGCTTAAGATTGGAAAAGAAGCGAACATTACCTTAGTCAGCAAAAGAAAGGATGGATGATTGTTAGTTCTTAGGGTGGCTTTATATTCTAAGAAAAACAAAATGTAACTTTGGGATGTGCCCTTTTTATGATCTGTGTAATCACTATCATTCTTTTTTTAACTCTTGGGTTTGTGTAGTACTGAGTGATTGAGAGAGATTATTTTACATGTCTCGGACATTTTAGTAGGAAGCTAAATGTATTAGTGTTTAATATAAACCTATATATAATATAAATCTTTTAACTAAAAAATATGTAAGTATTCATTGTTATAGGAGTGTCTGTCAGAAAGCACTCCACTTGCCGGGCAGTGGTGGCGAACATCTTTAATCCCAGCACTGGGGAGACAGAGGCAGATGGATCTCTGAGTTGGAAGCCAGGCTGGTCTACAGAGTGAGTTCACAGAGAAACCCTGTCTGGAAAAGAAGGAAGGAAGGGAGGGAGGAAGGAAGGAAGGAAGGAAGGAAGGAAGGAAGGAAGGAAGGAAGGAAGGAAACTAAAAGGAAAGAAGGAAAGGAAGAAAGAAAGAAAACACTCCACTCTAGAGGGTTCAGGTGGTCGCTACCCAGAACAGAGAACTTGAAATGCTGGCAACAAGAATGATTATATCCATAGCTGAAGCATGTCTGACAGGATTGACAGACACTGGATACTGATGTAGATTTGAGGTTTTACTTCTTTTTGGGAGCAGCATAAATGCATTTTGACCTTATGTCATTTCTGGTGGACTAGACCTGTTATTCAACTGGTACTGTAGTCAGCTATACAATTTGTATTTGGACATTTTTCTTTATCTGTGTGTCTTCCTGGGGTCTGTCTGTACCAACTTGTCCCATGGAAGCAGAATTGCTTTGAGCTTAAGAGCTGGTGGCTCTGGAATCAGAAAGATCTTCAGTGAACACTGGCTCTGCTATTTCCTAGTTATATGACCTTGAACAAACTCCTTAAGCTTACTAATCCTCAGGCCTCATTGCTCGAAACTGTAAAATGGGGACAAAAGTGGTGCCTACTTTTAATGCTGGTTCTGAGAATTAAACATGACCATGAAAATAAAAATACTTTCTGACAATAAATAACAGCTCTTATATGTGGCTTGTAATGCACAGTTATGTTTAGTATCCAGTCCATGAGGCTTAGGATGATAAATAGCAATTTTATCTTCTGAGTAAGGTAGTTAAAATGCTTGAGAGATTTGGGGAAGCATTCTTTAAAGATTGCTAAAATTTAATATGGTGACACAGTAATTATAACGAATGAGATAAAAAAACATTTTCTTCTGTTTTCTTTACAAAAGGTAGTGGTGTTATTAGTTATTTAAGTAACACCAGAAATCCCAGTGTTTATGTACCTCTGCCTTGACTTTTTTAGCTTTCTCAGTATGTATCCACAGTAGATCAAGAACTCAATTTTGGGGGAGGCTGAGAAGATTGCTCAGCAAGTAAAGTGCTTGCTTTACATGCCTGAAGAACTGAGTTTAGATCACCAGTAACTACAAGCAGAACATGGTAGCATACATCTGCAATACCGTTGCTGGGAGACAGAGATAGGATGATTCTGTGGGTACTCTGTGTAGTCAGTCTCACCTAAACAAGTGAGCTTCAGGTTCAGTGAGAGACTCAATCTTATAATATGGAGAGCCATAGTGGAGGAAATCTCCATGTCAGCCTGAGACCTCTGGCTTCTGCATGTACCTGAATGGGCAAGCGAACACACACACACACACACACACACACACACACACACACACACACACACACACACACGCACACTCACACTGAGAAGTGAGGGAAAAAAAGACATAGAGAGACAGAAACAGAGAGACAAATATGGAGAGACTCAATTTAACTCCAATGCTGTATCCTTTGTACTCTAAAGTCTTATAGTAGTATTTTTCAAAGTGTGGATTATTGGAATCACTCAGTGATCTTTAAAAACTCAAATGCCTACTTTGGCCATGTTGAGCAATATGTAGGTATTAAGAAAATACCTAACCCCACTGATTTTTTATGACTACCTAAGCTTAAGAATGGCTTGACTGCAGAAGTAATTGTTCCACAAATAAGCGATGTTCTCTAAGGGGTTGAGTGGTTGGGATTCTTCTTTAAGTGGTAACTTGTGTGAGGCGTCCTTGTGACACATCCTGACACTTGCAAAGTGAATGAAACCCTTTGGTCTTTACATCTTAGTAGCGATTTCCTAATGACTTTATTAATGGTGATTTACTTTCTCTTCTGAATCTTCAGAAACAATTCTCTCTCCATAATTACTGTGGCAACAGCTAAACTATTATTCCTGTTTAATGAAGAGAAGGGCCGGGGTGAAGCAGAATAATTATATTATCAAGATCCACAAAACCCTTTAATGTAAATGTCTCCATGGTTGAGCTCTTTGAACTGGACCGTCCCCTTTCTGGTTCTTAAGTCTCACAAGTCCCTGGCGTGTGTTCCCTCGGCATCTCTGTCCTGTATATCCCTTTCCCTCTCTATCTTCATAGCTACTCCATATTCCTTTTGATTCGGAACCAGTATCATGCTTCTTGAACCATGAAGGTGGTAAATCATGTTCCATGTTTCGGTTTGTAAGTAGAGGAGAAATATATGTGGGAAAATGTCAGCATAATTGAGAGTGTGAGAGAGAGAAAGGGAAAAGTACTTACAATTATATCCAGGGAAAAATTAATTGTGTTCTATTACTTGACCCTTGGTAATCACAGACACAGAGACAGACAGGTGTGCTATGGAGGCAGTTCTGCTACCTGCTGCCCTGGTATGTCAACTCTACAAGTATTCAGCTTGCTAAACCATTTTCCAGTGTCCAGATGACAAGGATTGATATTTTAAATTCCCTAGTTTGAGGATTGGTTGATTGTTGAGTGAAATAGTGCTATCTTCCTTTTCTTTTGTTTGTTGATTTTGTGTTGTTTCAAGACAATGTCTGACTCTGTAGTCCAGGCTAGCTTTGAACTCACAGAAATCCTAGAGTCTCAACTTCTATGATTACAAATTCTATGATTACAGACTTGAGCCACTGTGCCTGGCTGCTAACTTTCTTTTGATTAAAAATCAGTTTAGGAGATCCTTCGAGCTGCAGTGAGAGTCATGCTGCGTGGTAAATGTGAAGAAATACAACTGAAGAAATACACACCTTTTCAGGATGAATCTACAGGTATGTCACAGAAGGCAACATTCCAGTTAACAACTTTAATAGAAAATGGGCCTGGAGGCTGAGATGGTTCCATCTTCTCTCTTGATCGTGGAGGCTGCTCTGAGTAGTTGGTCCCAGAGCAAAGATTATACACATAGAGTGAAACAGATGTGGAGTTTTAAGTTCTGGATCCACCCCTTATCAGTTGTATAGATCTTTTTTGTTTTTTTTTGTTTTTTTTTTTTTTTTGGTTTTTCGAGACAGAATTTCTCTGTATTGTTTTGGAGCCTGTCCTGGAACTCACTCTGTAGACCAGGCTGGCCTCGAGCAGTTGTATAGATCTTGGCAAGCTGACTGTCCTCACTTTCACCACTTGTAAATTGAATATAATAGTAGTTGTAGTGAAAAATACAAGGCAGTAGGTACAAAGCCCTTAGCATGATCCTCAGCATGTGGTAGTGCCCCTGTTCTTTGGCATTCTGTAATTCTATTGTTGCAAACTTTTTATGTATTTTCTCCAAGTGTTTTTAAAAAATTAATACTGTAATATGTCAAGATGTTCCAAATGCCCTATTACTCATTTTCTCAACTTCACTTATTCAACAAATATTCCCCAAGTAACTATTATGTTCAAAGATTATTCTACCTTCTTAAATCAGAGAAGCAAACAAAGGAAGACAGCAGCCATGGAGCTTACGTTGCAGATGAGAGAGTAAATACAATAGACAATAAACACAGTCAATAAGTTATTTCCATGGAATGAAAAATGAGATGAGTATTATGGATACAGGGTGTGGGAGTCGGAGCATTCCAATTTTGAATGAGAACAGGAGAGGACTTCTTGGGATTCGTAACCATAGAGCTATGGGTAATGGTTTTCTTGTGGGGTTTGTACAACACTCAGTATAATTGTACAATTTTAGATAAAAGCAAAAGGCTGGAATGCCTAAAATAAGTGGGAAGCCATTCCTTAACTTCTTAAATGCAATGGGAAAGCAGCAGAGAGTAGCTCATTAGTATGTGTGTGCTCGTGTGGTCATGACTATTTTCTCTTTTTGGCCTCACTTTGCTCTTTTTTTAAATAATTTATTTATTTTTATTTTTTATGTGTATTGGTGTTTTGCCTGCATATATGTCTGCGTGAGGGTGTCAGATCTTTTGGAACTGGAGTTACACACAGTGTGAGCTGGGATATGGGTGCTGGAAATTGAACCCAGATCCTCTGAAAAACACCCAGGACTCTCAAGCACTGAGCCATCTCTCCAGCCCCTTGCTCTGTTCTTTAGGTTCACAGATTGTCTATCCCTTACCCACTATGGTTCCACATCTCAAGACTTGGGATGATATATAATGTTACCGTAAGAAATAAGAGATATTAGAGATACTTAGGCTTTATCTCTGTGTTTTATAACAGAGTTTATGTAACACCATACTGTACATTTTACATATCATAAAGGCAAATGCTTTGTAACTCATAGAAATGTGTGCAGTTAAACTTTAAATCCATGGTTAGATTTACTCACTGGCAATTTTTACTAAAACATAGTACAAAATTGGCTTTACATCTTGATTAAGTAGGAGGAGCATGACAGTGGTATTCAGAGGCAGGGTCTGCCCCTAGCCGCCCGCCTCCAAACCTTATTCAGCCCTCTTGCTAACTGTCATTTGACAGCTCTGTGCCTACGACTTTCTCAATTATGAATTGGGGGTGGTAAGCGGTGTCCTTTCTACCTCTCTAATTCCACAAGTCTTTGAAAAGCTACAAGATTTTTTTTCTTCTAGAAACTAGCACAGGTATAATGTGTAGGACTATAATCTCTTGGAATCTGTTTTATTGAAAACTGTAATTAAGGTGATTTGTCCATTTTTGGATGGGAACAAAAATAGAGTATGCTGATCTTCCACATATTATTTGTGCCTCTTTGCCTTTCATTTTATAAATGAGTAGGATAATATATTCTTGCCACATACTGTTCACCAGAAGTCTTGCCAGATACATAGAACTTCAAGACATTACTGGCACATGTTAGTTACCACATACTTGAATTAGCTATGAACTCCTACATGTGATCCAGGCCTGTCCTTGAGGTCTCAGAGCCTTTAACCATCATTATGTCAGAATTAATTCTATCAGTAATGTATTATAAGCTTCATTTTTATATAGGGAAAGCCAGAAATACAACCAAGGTCCACTTAATAATTAAAGAAATTACCTGGAGATATAGATCAGTGATACAGTGTTTGCCAAGCATGTGTGAGGCCCTAGGTTAAATTCCCCAGGATCTTCAACAATAAATAAATAGGGGCTGGAGACTTGGCTCAGCAGTTAAAAGAATGTGCGGTTCTTCCAGAGGACCAGAATTTGGTGCCCAACATCCTATCCAGTGGCTGACACCAGAAGATGTAACTACCTTATGTGGCCTTCATGGGTGTCCAGTACCTACACAAACATGTGCATATACACACAGAAGCACAGACACATAAATTTAAAAACTAAATCTTAAAGTAATTAACTAAAATCTAATTTATGTCATAATACAAACTCAGACCTTTCCTAAATCCTTTCAACCAGGGTTGGCAAAGGACTGCTTATATAAAAGCAGGGTCTGCTCTTCATTTCCTTTTTCTTTCTCCCACTGTGTATTTCAATATGATTTTTACATCTCTTAATGCTTAAAAAATGAAGAGAAGAATGATACCGTGTGGCATGTGTGCGTTATGTGAAATTTGAATTTCAATGTTCCTAGGCCAGGAGGGTTTGCTGCAACACTGATGCATTTGTTTTGTATTGTCTGACCATATATGTATGGCTGCTTTCTCAAGAAAATTGCTGCATATTTGTTACAGGATTGTATGGCTCTGAAACCTAGAATATTTATTTTTTGTTTCCTTTCAGGGAAAAAAAAAAGCTGATCCCTGATTTGATTATATGGATTTCTTAGCTAGAGTAACTAATAAATTAAAATTAAAATTAAAACAACAGAATAAATTCATAGTGCCTGTTTTACCTAAATTTGGACTGGTACCATTGTGTACTAAAACTACATACCCTTATACTAAGTTTCTTTGTTATAAGATGGCTGCGTAGTTGTTTCTTTCTTTGTTATTTCCCCTTTTTTCACTTTCATTCATCTCTTCCCTCTACCAATATAATTAATTACCTGAGAATAAGTCACTAATCAAGTGTAGATTTATTAGCCAAATTATCCAAACAAACACTTGATTGTTTCTATACAGTAGAATAAAGTGCCAGCACAGAGGTGTGTCTGGACAGGAAAAGTCTTTGACTTGGCTAAGGGGTTAGTAAAGGCTTCCTAACAAAGGGGATACCTGAAGATGAGGGTGAGGGTGGGGCGGTAGAAAGGAGTCCAAAGAATCTATTCCATGTCACAGCACTATTTCCCGATGCCTGTATGAGTTGGGGTGACATCCCAAAGCTTCCATCAGTAGGATTCAGTGACCAGAACAGCCAGTGTACTACCTTAAGATGAGCAGGCTTAGGTAACAAGGACAAAATTGTGGGAAAGCCAGAAGAATGAGCTATAGACTAACCTAGCAAGAAAGACTCCCAGAAGGCTATAGTCCTGTCACACTGAGGCCACCACTAGAGTGATTCTGACAAGACCATGTTGCTGTCCACTTAGGAGAGGTGGGGAAGACGTCCTGCCGTGGCTGCCTCTTCATCTGCCTTTCAACACTCAAGAAGCCAGAAGAGGGACACAGGAGCTCTGGTGTGGGAAAGGCTGACTGCAAAATCACTCACACAGCAAATCATCAGGAAAGCAAGGAGAAGATCACAGCCCTGTCTCCAATTTCTTAGTGTTAGAGGGACCCATTTCCTTCGTACATCCTGAGCTTCTGCTCTCATACTTTAAAAGAAAATGGAAGAGATGCCCACAGCTTCCTGGCTGTGGAAGCCCAGACTGGAGGATGAGCAGTCTGAACCACAGAATCTGCCACATGTACAAAATCAGTGTCCCTGTCCATTGGAAGAATTCCAAATAGTTTGCAATGACTAGAGCGGCAATCCATACATGTTCAGGTATGGATCCTTAAAAAAAAAAAACAAAAAAAAAAAACAAAAAAAAAACCATGAAAATGCACAGCCCCTGATGCAATGGGTAAGACAGAGGTTGTGCTTTACTATCCTGTATTGAAAAATATATTAGAAGTAATTAACATCTAAGTGAAATTCTACTTAATTACAAGACTAAATACACACATTGGGAAATGGTAGTGATAATGATAGTTCATGTCACAACTCCCTGTGTTTCATGTATTGGCCTATTTGGTAGTGATACATACAAAGTCAATCTATATCACTTCTTCAGTCAGCAAAGAGTACCCAGGCCACTTGTGCAGTCCACCACTCTTCCTAGTAGGGCCTTGACACCCCAGGGTTTTAGATTCATAGTTGGGAAGGGTCGAGCCATATAATACATTAAGGCATATGATAACTGAGGAACCAAAAAAAAAAAACTGTAAAAGTATGCTAATATATTTTGTTCTTAGATGTGAGGTGCTGTCGAGTCACGGAATTTATGCAAAAGAAGGATAAAACCAAATTTTCATATCAGAAAGATTACTCAGCATAGACAAGGCAATGAAGCTCGGGGAATAAAAATGAGGGCAAGGAGAAAAATAGAGGCGGCTGCTTCAGTAAACTAGGTGGGAAAAGCAGCCTTGATAAATAAGGTATAGGTAATGGAGATGAAGAGATTAGGTACTTAGACATGGAATTGATTGTTTTATTTATTCAATTAATAACATGAGTGACTAATAGAAAAGTGTGTGGGTAGCCATGTAACCCTTTCAACTTCTGGAGCAAAATACACACATACAAAATAAAAGCAGAAATGAGTACTAAATTAGTCAGGATAGTCTACTAACTCCCCAAATTTCTGTAGCATAATATAAAAATGATGCATTTGGATCCCAGTCTGATCGAGTAGACTATATGATGAGAAGGGACACAAATTCTATTCCATGTGATTATTCAGGCCTGGGCTTTTTCCTTTCATTGTCTCCACTATTTCCTAGGACTGCTGAATTCTCTAGACTGAAATGATAGCACTGAGCTGAAAACAAAGAGACCATGTGGAAGAAGTATTCATCACTTGTATATGCATTTCATTAGCTAGTCCTGTATTGGTCATGAAAAGGGTAGTCTAGTTCTATGCTCAGAGAGAAAAGGGGACATTCCATTTCACAAATGCTGTTCCATCTCTTCCATATATTGTAGAAGAAAAGAAATCATAGGATTTGGAAATAGGGACCATGATGAATTTAATTAGGCATTATCTACATATGATTACTGTGCAGAAATGTGAGCCACCTGATTATACTGAAGAAATCCTGTGTTCCTATGGTGTAAAGTGTAGAAAAATGGGAAGGTGCAATACATCTACTCAGCCAAGAAACAGCTGAGCTGAGGACACAGGAACTATGGTGAGGAAATTTCACTATCCGATTATGTCTGTGTGTTGGGATACTGTAACGATAAGTCTTACTGCTAGCTACCTGAGTTCCGCTGGCATGTTAGGTCCCCGAATAACAGACAGAGACTTATATTAGGTACAATGCTGTTGGCCAATGACTAGGATTTCTTAATCTATATATTTTGTAAAGACTTATCTGATTGAGGACGCTGGCAGCATGCGTCCTCTCTTGTCGGGCTCACATGATGGCTCCAGAGAAGAGAGGAGGAGAAAGAGGAAGAGAATGACTTCCTGCTTATCCCTGCTTATATTCTGAGTCTGCATGCTATGTCACTTCCTGCCTGGATCACAAGACTTTACTACATTTCCCAGAATCCTCCTCTGTCTGTTAAGAGACAACACTTATGTCTTAAGGGTCTGCCATCTGTGGGGTACTGCTTCATATGCTGGCACAGAAAGACTTGTCCTGTCTGCTAGGTTGGCATCCTCTAGGGTAGAGGTAGATCAACAGCATCTCATGACTATAAGGCCTAAATTTTCATAGTATTCCACTTTATTCATTTTGATCCCACTCTACTAATCAACCACATTCTCATTTTACTGTTTTTTTTAATTCTTATATTATTTATTTTGTATTGTTGGGAGTGTGTACCACAGTGCACATGTGGAAGTCAGAGGACAACTCGTGGGAAACAGTTCTCTGCTTCCACTATTTGGGTCCTCGAGATGGAAGTCAGGTCATCAGGTTTGGTGGTAAGCACCTTGACCAGTTGAGTCATCTTGCTGGCCTTCTTAATTGACTGGCTTTGATTTCTGGGAGAAAGTACCCAGACACTAACGCTAATCTCACTGATTAGCAACCTCTTTCTCGTCCTCATCGTCTTCCTTTGTTTTTATCATTGTCATCATGCTCATCATTAGATCAACTTTGTGCCAGAGATTTCACATGTTCTTTCAGTGTTATGACAGTTGCACTTTACAGATATAAATACCGAGAGCCTGAGAAATGCAGTGCCTGGACCTCACAGGAAGTCTTGATGAGCTTGGCTGAGCACACAATCCTGCTGACATCATAGCACAAGTCCTGCCCACCACAGATTCTGAATCTGTGCATTTAGTAAAGACTTTGAAAAGCATGTGTTATACCTTAAATTGGCCAAATCTGGTTACATGGACAAATGCAAACCATTGGTCATAAAACATTCAGGACCTGGTAATGAGTTAGGGAACTTCCTTGAAGACCATTTGATCCTGTGAGGATACCAGGTTGACCACTCACCCTCTGGCATACCTACTTCTGAACTTTAACATCAGCGTTGGTGACTTGGTGATTTCACAAAATCATATATTTGCTAGAGATAATTGTTGACATTTGTATTCTTATAATACAAAAAAATACTCTCATAAATAAATTTGAGATATAAAACCTGGTCAGGTAACCTGACAAAAATAATATTTGAGTCCCTCAATTAAAAAAAAAGTAATGTCTAGTTAGTTACCATCCAAAAATGTAATCAGTGTGTGTGTGTGTGTGTGTGTGTGTGTGTGTGTACTTAAAATGTATTGATAAGTATAAATCAAAGTAAACATGTTTTCTTCCAGTGGTGGTTTTATTTTCCCTGAGTGGGAATTTAAAATTGCTTCAATTGCGTCTAAGTTAGTGAATAGGGAAAGTGCTCAAATGGCAATAACAACACTTGTAACAAATGTTCAACCAGAATATACAGGATGATAAGGAGAGAGTGGTTCTGTGAGCGTTACAGTAAACCATACAGACACCATTCCATAATGATTTTTCAGGAAAGGAAAGGCATCCACTTAGTTTTCTCGAGTTAGCACAGATCCTTATGTCAATTATCCCTTGCACAATGTACATGCCTTCGGTTTCACAATATTGTTGACCCTTTGAGTTGTTTTTTTGTCATTTCTGCTGGTCCTTCTGAATTACATCATAGTCATGTTATAGAAAGAGTAAAAAATGTAGGTCAAAGTATGTCTTCACAGTCCCACTGTGGAAGACACACAGGAAGGAATAATGGACTGTCTTCGTACACTATGATAAGGATTGCATAGCTCTTCGTGAAGAATGTGCCATTGCACTTGTGAAGGTTGGTCAATGACAATATTTTTCTGGTGAATTACATTTGAAACACCACCATCTCAAGTGAGTTACAGTGAAGCCATCTTTGGAACAGTACTCATGAAATGATTATCAAGTTCTCACTCGGCTGTGGCGTGAACAACTGTAAAGCTCCTAACAATTTGACATTTGTCTCATCTGTATACCGCCACTTTAGCTTGGTCCTGACTAATCTTGCTCCAAGACAGTGGATGGACTTTGCCTAGGAGAAAAGATCCCTGATTCTACCCTAGATTCAAGTCTGTAGCAGTGGAATGTTTGTTTTGCATTCTGAAGGTTCAGTCTTTTAATCTATAAGATAAAGGACTTGCGTTAGATTTCCAAGATCCTTTCAAGATTTAAAACACAGCAGTACCCTACACTGGGTATGGTTGGTGGGGAGGAATTCCCTCTGAAAAATTGATTAGTGACATCATTTGTGAAGTGATTGAGAAAATGATTGTGATCTTTATGACTACAATACTTCTATAGCAACAGTAACCATTTGTAGAAAAAAAAAAAAGAACAAAAAATACCTTTATACCTTTTCTTTTCAAGTCCCATAAGCCAGAATCCACATCGGTGTTCCTTCAGGCCAACCAGATTCAATCTGTGGTGACTGAGACTCCTCAACCGTGAATGCATTTGTGGACAAATTCTGATCGTCTTGAGATCACAAAGCTCTTAAGGAGCCATTCTGGTTAGCCTAGAGGCAACACTGGTCTCTGCTGGAACCTGTGCCTGCTCAGAAAGACGTTTTTTGCCTCAGGGCTGCTGTGATTCGGAGGCATTGCTGACTCTGGTTATATCTGTATCTGGAACTCACCCTACCTGGACTTCAATCCAGGGCCACTTACCCCAGAGTTCTTTTAAGTCTTTATCTCTTATTTCTACCTACTTACCTTCCTACCTACCCTCCTCTCCCCTTGAAACCCTTAAAGCAGTGGTTCTCAACCTTCCTAATACTGTAACATTTTAATACAATTCCTCGTGTGGTGACCCCCAAACTATAAAATTATTTTTGTTGCTATTTCATAACTGTAACGTTGCTACTGTTATGAATCATAATGTAAATATCTGATATGCAGGATATCTGATATTTGACCCTGTGGAAGGGTCATTCCATCCCCGCCAAGGAGTGGAGACCCACGGGTTGAGAACCATTGCCTTAAATAATTTGTGTTCTTGCTTCCTATTGGTCTCTGGGGTATTTTGCATAACCTCTATAATAAATTTAGATTTTTATTCAAATTAAGAGCAAACTTCTTTCATGAAACTTCTACTTGGCTTTGCAAATATATCTGAAGAAAAGAAAAATGGCCAGACATGTTGGTGCATGCCTTTAGTCCCAGCACTTGGGAGGCAGAGGCAGGCAGATCTCAGTGAATCAGTGAGTTCAAAGCCAGCCTGGTCTACAAAGCAAGTTCCAGGACAGCTAAAGCTGTTACACAGAAGAAACCCTGTCTTGAAAAACCAAAAAAACAACAACAAAAAATATACGAATTCTTGAGTCTAACATCTAAGTTAGACAGGGTGAAATACAAATGACAAAATACAAATTAATATTTTGGTTTATTCTGCTACATTACTCATCATTAAAAATATAATTAGTATTGGCTGGACATGGTGGCACATACCTTTAATTTTAGTACTTATGAGGCAGAGTCAGGCAGATCTCTGTGTTCCCGGCCAATCTGATATACAGAGTAAGTTCTGAGTCAGCTAGCACTACATAGTGAAACACTGTCTAAAACAAACACACACCCACAATATATATCCATATATGTGTTTTATATATAATATATTATATCACATATAATATTGATTATAATATATAACATAATATTCATATATAATGATATTAATATATAATTATTTTAAAGGGAATAATTTGTGTTTATTTTATTGTGCTTTAAATAAAA